GAATAGAATAGAATAGAATAGAATAGAATAGAATAGAATAGAATAGAATAGAATAGAATAGAATAGAATAGAATAGAATAGAATAACAGAGTTGGAAGGGACCTTGGAGGTCTTCTAGTCCAACCCCCTGCTTAGGCAGGAAACCCTACATCACTTCAGACAAATAGTTATCCAATCTCTTCTTAAAAACTTCCAGTTTTGGAGCATTCACAACTTCTGGAGGCAAGTTGTTCCACTGATTAATTGTTAGGAAATTCTCCTTTGTTCTAGGTTGGTTCTCTTCTTGTTTAGAATAGAATAGAATAGAATAGAATAGAATAGAATAGAATAGAATAGAATAGAATAGAATAGAATAGAATAGAATAGAATAGAATAACAGAGTTGGAAGGGATCTTGGAGGTCTTCTAGTCCAACCCCCTGCCCAGGCAGGAAACCCTACACTACTTCAGACAAATGGTTATCCAACATCTTCTTAAAAACTTCCAGTGTTGGAGGATTTACAACTTCTGGAGGCAGTTTGTTCCACTGATTAATTGTTTTCACTGTCAGGAAATTTCTCCTTCGTTCTAAGTTGCTTCTCTCTCTTGATTAGTTTCCACCCATTGCTTCTTGTCCTACGCTCAAGTGCTTTGGAGAATAGCTTGACTCCCACTTCTTTGTGGCAGCCCCTGAGATATTGGAAGACTGCTATCATGTCACTCCTAGTCCTTCTTTTCATAAGACTAAACATATTATTATTATTCAGAGGTGGCAAAACTTTGTGGCTTAAATCTGTCGTTGTAAGTACCCACCTGCCTTCACCCAACCCAACCCTGCTTCTGATTGGGCAGAACGATTGGTGATTGTTTTCCTGCCCGCAGGTGGCAAAAGAAGCAAAACTGGGGAAATCCATCTTGTCCCTTCTTTAACTTAACTTTAACGTGCCACCGTAGAGAACACTTAATGGTGAATGGTTAGGATGCAGTATTGCAGGCTAATTCTGCCCACAGGCAGGAGCTTGATCCTGACTGGCTCAAGGTGGACTCAGCCTTCCATCCTTCTGAGGTCGGTCAAATGAAGACCCAGATTGTTGGGGGCAAGAGGCTGACTCTGTAAAAGTCTTAGGGCTGTAAAAGCACCAAGAAGCGGTATATAACCCTAAGCTCTCTTGCTATAGCTATTGCTATTAACTTGCAAACGATATGTAAGGATAACAATACCTTTCCCAGCCTTGTTATTGTTGTAGAACAGGGAACACCAGTGGAGGCAGCACAATTTATGCCAGTGCTGTTTTAGGCCTCCTGAAGGGCTGCTGCAGAGCCCTTGGATATAGCTGGCTGAACTCCCTTTTCAGCGGTTTTCCTTGGCTCTTATTCTGACTGTCAGCCGGAGAGTTTTCATGATTAAGGGCATCAGAGAGATCCGGAAACAACTTTGGGAAGCTTCAGGGACAGGCAATTGTTGTCATTTTTAAAGCAGGGGGAGATGGGGGAGAGAGAGAGAGATTGAGGGGGGGGAGAGGGAGGGAGGGAGGCAGGGGGAAAGGGGGGAGAGAGAGAAAGAGAGAGAGGAGGGAGGGAGGGTGAGAGAGAGAAAAAGAGAGGGAAGGGAGGGGAGAGAGAGGGGTGGGTGGGAGGGGGAAAGAGAGAGAGAGGAAGGGAGAGAGGGAGCTAGAGACTGTAGATAGATGATAGATAGATAGATGATACATAGGGGGAGAGAGAGAGGAGGGAGGAAGGGGGGGAGAGAGATTGAGAGAGGAGGAGGAGAGAGAGGGGAGAGGGAGAGAGAGAGGGGGGTGGGAGAGAGAGGGAGGGAGAGAGAGAGAGGAAGGGAGAGAGGGAGCTAGAGACTGTAGATAGATGATGGATAGATAGATAGATGATACATAGGGGGAGAGAGAGAGGAGGGAGGAAGGGGGAGAGAGATTGAGAGAGGAGGAGGAGAGAGAGGGGGAGAGGGAGAGAGAGAGAGAGGGGTGGGAGAGAGGGAGAGAGAGAGGAAGGGAGAGAGGGAGCTAGAGACTGTAGATAGATGATGGATAGATAGATAGATGATACATAGGGGGAGAGAGAGAGGAGGGAGGAAGGGGGGAGAGAGATTGAGAGAGGAGGAGGAGAGAGGGGGGAGAGGGAGAGAGAGGGGCGGGAGAGAGGGAGGGAGAGAGAGAGAGGAAGGGAGAGAGGGAGCTAGAGACTGTAGATAGATGATGGATAGATAGATAGATGATACATAGGGGAGAGAGAGAGGAGGGAGGAAGGGGGGAGAGAGATTGAGAGAGGAGGAGGAGAGAGAGGGAAGGGAAGGGAGAGAGAGGGGGGTGGGAGAGAGGGAGGGAGAGAGAGAGAGGAAGGGAGAGAGGGAGCTAGAGACTGTAGATAGATGATGGATAGATAGATAGATGATACATAGGAGGAGGAGAGAGAGAGGAGGGAGGAAGGGGGGAGAGAGATTGAGAGAGGAGGAGGAGAGAGAGGGGAGAGGGAGAGAGAGAGAGGGGTGGGAGAGAGGGAGAGAGAGAGGAAGGGAGAGAGGGAGCTAGAGACTGTAGATAGATGATGGATAGATAGATAGATGATACATAGGGGGAGAGAGAGAGGAGGGAGGAAGGGGGGAGAGAGAATGAGAGAGGAGGAGGAGAGAGGGGGGAGGGGAGAGAGAGGGGCGGGGAGAGGGGAGGGAGAGAGAGAGGAAGGGAGAGAGGGAGCTAGAGACTGTAGATAGATGATGGATAGATAGATAGATGATACATAGGGGAGAGAGAGAGGAGGGAGGAAGGGGAGAGAGAGATTGAGAGAGGAGGAGGAGATAGAGGGAGGGAGGGAGAGAAAGAAAGGGAATGCTGCAACAGTCGTGTGAAAAATAGTCACAAGTCACATTTATCAGGGCCACTGTAACTCCAAATAGTCACTAAGCCAGTGGTGAAATTCATTTTTTTTTACTACCGGTTCTGTGGGCGTGGCCTGGTGGGCATGGCAGGGGAAGGATAGTGCAAAATCCCCATTCCCACCCCACTCTAGGGGAAGGACAGTGCAAAATCTCTATTCCCACCCCACTCTGGGGCCAGCCAGAGGTGATATTTGCCGATTCTCCAAACTGTTCAAAATTTCCACTACCGGTTCTCCAGAACCTGTCAGAACCTGCTGGATTTCACCCCTGCACTAAACCAATGGCTGTAAACCAAGGAGTACCCATACAAGGCTTGACAAGAGGAACATGGAGTGTTATAGTACCAGAGTACAAGATACCTAAGTACCACAATCAGGATCTGATGGATGGTTAGAAAAATAAAACCCCATTCTGGATAGCCAGACCCGCCACAAAGCTCTTTCCACAGTGCTCCCAATTTAAATCCAAGTTTGTGATTATTTTAAATGCCTTCTAGCTAGAAGTCCCTGGTGGTTTTCCAAGGACAGGAATGGTTTGCAAGGTTAAGCTGGATAGGACGGCTCAACAGCAGATGATTATCTGTGCATCACGAGATGGTGGGTTTTTTTTTTACTTTTCTTATCTAAGAAAAATCAGCTGTGATCCACTGCAATAACTTTGCAATACTGCTAGTGGAGGCAGCCATTAGCTGTAGCTGCTTCCCTTGGAGAATTCTTCCAAAGGCTCACTCACATCCCAACCCATTCACAGTAGCATCCTTGCATTTCAATCTAAGCAAGGTGTACTTCATCCAGATGTACAACAAGTCTCAAGACCTAAGAGGAAGGATTTCTGGGAATTTTAATTTTTACAACCCAGAGGAACATCATTGTGCGCCACGGTGGTGCAGTGGTTAGAGTGCGGTACTGCAGGCCACTTCTGCTGATTGCCAGCTGCCTACAATTTGGCAGTTCAAATCTCACCAGACTCAAGGTTGTCTCAGCCTTCCATCCTTCTGAGGTGGGTCAAATGAGGACCCAAATTGTTGGGGGCACTCTTTAAACTGCTTAGAGAGGGCTGTAAAAAGCACTGTGAAGCGGTATATAAGTGCTATTGCTATTGGATTTAAGTCAGGGGTGGGTAAGACACCAGCAGAACCTGGGTAGCAAATATCTCCCAAGCCTGTTTGTGGCCCATCAAACCTGTGTCATGACCATTGTGGCTGAAAATGGCCATCATGAGATCCTACCATTTGAAGCTAGCAAAAAAATAAAAATAAAAATACAGAAAGTCCAGTGTAAGTTGTAAGCGTAAGAGTTGTTAATGCCTGGAATGCACTACCAGACTCTGTGGTCTCATACAGGGGTGGGTTCTACTTACCTTTACTACCGATTCGCAACGGGATCTCACGCGCGCGATCGCTTCTGATGTCAGGGTCAGTGGACGGAGCCTCCCGCTGGTTTTACTACCAGTTCTATAGAACCAGTCCAAATCGGGGGCAACCCACCACTGGTCTCATCCCAAAACCCCCAAAACTTTAACCTAAAACTGTCTACTGTGGACCTCACCCCATTCCTAAGAGGTCTGTAAGGGGCGTGCATAAGCGCACCAGTGTGCCTACCGTCCCTGTCCTAATGTTTCCTCTATTTGTATCTATTTTACGTATTCAATTCATGCTTATACTTATATATATTATCTAATATGTACTCAACAAAAGAAATAAATAAATAATAAAAAGTTCTGCACACGATAAACACAGAGGGCTATCCTGCAAAGCTCTTTCCCAAAACTTGGAAAATAGAAAATCCTGTTTCCCCCAAAATAAGACATCCCCTGATAATAAGCCCAATCGGGCTTTTGAGTGCGTGGCAATAAGGGTTCAAATAAAATATAAGACAGGGTCTTATTTTCGGGGTAACACGGTAGTTCTATCCATCTACACAGGAAGGCCCTCACCTCTTTGTAACACTGCCTCTCCCATTATAGCCCACTTCTTCCCCATATAAAATCTTTACCTTCCCCATTAAAATTCCCCCACCTTGTAGCTCCAGCCCTTAAGGGCTGCCCAGGCTGGGAAAGATGGTACAAGAAGAAGATGGTCGGCCAAGCGGTTTCTGCAAGGAGGCTAGAAAAATCTACAAGCAACGCCGAGCCTCAGGATGACCCATTTGGTCTGTAATTTATTGCAATCTCATTGCCCGACATGAAATTCAAGGTGACGGGTATGCATTCTAGGGAGGTTGATATACAAGATGAAGTAGGGTTGGGTTTTTTTAGGACGAGTGTCTAAAGGAAAGGTCAGCGTGGATAGTGATCGCATCTATTCAATAACACGGGGTTTTGTTTGTTTTTTCAGTGTACACATAACGCTACGGCTATAGGTCCCCACAATTAGCGGGTAGCTGTATTAATACACAAGTTGCAGGCTGGGTACAAAACAAGTCCGTAGAAGTGCAGGAGAACATCACAAGAGGAAATGGGAAGATTCAGGTCTGGTTCTGGAACCCATCCATGTCCATATTTTTGTTTCCCTAAGAATGGACCAGATCCTATGGCTTTTGGATATTTAAGACAACGAGGAGGAAGCAGCTGGGATCTCAAGCTCATTGAACAGATGCCAGAGAATGCTGTACATGCATCAGCTGGACAGTATGCAACTGAGTCTTATCTATGCCATAGGTATCATTATGGTTATGCTGGTCTTGGACCGTAACTGAGATTTGATTGTGATTTGATTGCTGTATCCTTACATTGAGAGGCGCAGGGTTTTGATTTGCTTGTTTTCATTTTTATGGCATTTTCTCTGAGGATGGCTTCTTTTTTTCCCCCTGATTTTTTATTTTTATTTTTATTTTTGAAGCAATTTTGTCAATGTAAGCAGAGCAATAGATAGATAGATAAGATAGCAATGTCAGCAGCAAGTCTTCTGCAAACTGCCTACAAAACAGGATGTAAGAATTTTGTGAGAAGTCTTTGGATCCTGGCGCGGATGAAGATTCCTGAAAAGCATCCAGTCGATCGCTTTCTCATCTCAGAGTCTTCCTGGACGCCTCGGCAATAAGTCCAAAGCATGGGTCAAAACTCCACATCCCCAACTGTGGGATTGCATGTCTTCAGGACAGCCGTAAAAGTCACTCTGCCTTTTCTTGGCAATCACAATCTCTTGCCATCTCCATCCACGGACCGCGGGCATCTCGATAACCTGAAATATGTCTTTGCCCTATACACCAATGTTGACTTCCCTCCATGCCTCCTAAAATTGACCATGGCATGGAATACTTGAGAACAAGACAGCCTAAGCAATGTCAGAGTTACAGGCTTCCTCCTCCCGAAAAATCTTCTTTTCCTCTAGCCGATGATGCATTTTCAGTCTGTACTACAAAGAAACTTTTAGTAGCCACGGTCCTCAGAGGATGGAAAGGACTGTGCCCCAATCTGTACTTTGCATTAATTCCAGTTAAATGGACATCTATCAATAATTCAACTATTGCCACGCATTCATACGGCTATAGTGCACAATAATTTCCAATAGTTTTATGTTTTCTACATTGATGAATTAAATCCTTGCCCTTCTTCATGGGGTAGAGGAAGGACATATTTGGTTCTGGAAAACAGCATTCAGATGGAACCGATTCAATCAAAGACAGCAGCAGAAAAACAACTCATTTTGTAGAAATATTGCCCAATAGAGTACTAGAATACTGTCCAATGGGTTAAATTAGCATTAGTAGCACTTTCTCTTTCTACTTCAGAGTCCATTACAGGGATTAAAATATCCATGGGGAAAATTGGAAGCATTCTGCTTTGTTTGAGACCATCAATGAGAATGAAATGGGTTGTTTATTCAGAGTACGTGTGTTGCTGTGTATGTGTGTGTCTGTGTGTTTACATGCATACTTCAGAACAATGTTTGTGTGTGTGTGTTTGCTTGCATGTGCATATATATAATATATATAATGCAAATATGGGCCAGACTTTTTCAAACGGAATACAAAATCTAAATGACCTGAGTAAAGGATTGGACTAAATGGCCTTTGATTCCTCCAATTCCATAAAAGAAGAACGGGATTTGTTTATTCGGAGACAACAGGAGAAGAGGCTGAGCATCCCTCCCTGAAAATATAGGCAGGGTTACTTTAGGATCCCCTAAATAAGACTCTACCTTCTACCAAATGTGGGGCTGATGGCTGACATTTTTCCAAAAGAATTCTCTGAACCTTAGATGTGGGGTTGATGTTTCTCAGCTTTGGCGACTTTGAAGATGTCTGGACTTCCATTCCCAGAATTGAGTTTGGGGAGTTGAAGACCACACATCTTGAAGTGCCAAAGTTGAGAAGCACTGGTCTAGGGATTCAACTGCATATCTAGCGCCTGGGACATCCAGGTTCAAATGTCTTCTCCGTGGAAATGCATGGGGGGACCTGAGGCCAGTGAGTCTACCTAAGCCCAACCTAAAAAAAAAAGAATTGTTTTTTGTGGGGGAAAATTGGAAGGAGCGTTATGTATTCTACCTTGCTCTTGGAGAAAGGAGAAGATAGATAAATGATGGATGATGGAAGATAGATAGATAGATAGATAGATAGATAGATAGATAGATAGATAGATAGATAGATAGATAGACAGACAGACAGACAGACAGACAGACAGACAGACAGACAGACAGACAGACAGACAGACAGATAGATAGATAGATAGATAGATAGATAGATAGAGAGGATGGATGGATGGATGGATGGATGGATAGATAGATAGATAGATAGATAGATAGATAGATAGATAGATAGATAGATAGATAGATAGATGGATGGATGGATGGATGGATGGATGGATGGATGGATGGATGGATGGATGGATGGATAGATAGATAGACAGATAGATGATAGAGAGAGAGATGGATTAGACAGATGGATGGATGGATTAGATGAGATGGATGGATGGATGGATGGATAGATAGATAGATAGATAGATAGATAGATAGATAGATAGATAGATAAAAATTTCCTGGAAAACTCTAGAAATACAGATATCAAGCTATATTGATATCTACTGTAAATTGATGTTTATACATTCCTTTTAATGTAGAATTTCTCCAATCTAGTAGGCTGTGGTGGCTACTGATTAGAACTCTGCACATATTTGTCAGGTAAGGGGTGTATCATGCATTTTGACTGGCTGTGTGGGCTCCACCATCACTACACAATAGTCCTAGAATCAGGGTTTTAACCTTCCTTCAATAGAAGGTCTCTTCTTCTCCCCCTTTCCCCACAAAATATGAGGTATTGGCAGAGAAATATCGGTAGACATTTTGATTTTCTTCTAAGCAGGTCTCTTCACCGTAGGCCGGTGTTGCGGTTCATCCTCCAGCTGCTCACATCAGGACTTGGTCCCGCGTGTCCGGCAGCCGCAGGGATAGGAGGCCTCCTACTACTAGAGCAGAAGAAGCCAGAAGAATGGGGATCACTTTGGTGATCCCAACAAAAGAGGCAAAGATGGAGTTTCCCAAGATGGCCCCAACTTTACAGACACCGGTGAGTATCCCAAAGGCTGTGGCTCTAGATAAGAAGGAGAGAAAAATCATAGAAAGGTTTCAGAATTCAAAAGTCAGAGATCCAAGGCTCAGTTATTTTAACATATGAACATTTCAATTCCTTTAAACAGTGGTGGGATTCAGCCGATTCGCACCACTTCGGGAGAACCGGTTGTTGACTTTCTGAGCAGTTTGGTGAACTGGTTGTTGGAAGAAATTATTAGGGCAGCGAATCGGTTGTTAAATTATTTGAATCCCACCACTGCCTTTAAATATTTATAATGAGTATTTCATCCTCAGGGGCATATAACTGGGCACACCAAGGAAGCCAGAACTAACTATCCAGACTTCAATAGGCATCTTATGTCAAGCACAGGAATCATGAAACTTGCAAAAGGGATTTCCTAACTTTGTTTATGGTGAATTCATTATAGCGGATTGATCTCTTTGAACCAGTGGTGGATTTCATTTTTTTTTACTACTGGTTCTGTGGGTGTGGCTTGGTGGGTGTGGCATGGCTTGGTGGGTGTGCCTTAGTGGGCATGCCAGGGGAAGGATACTGTAAAATCTCCATTCCCACCCCACTCCAGGGGAAGGTTACTGCAAAATCCCCATTTTCTCCTGATCAGTTGGGAATTGGGAGGCAGAGAATAGATGGTGTGGGGGGCAGTCAGAAGTTTTACTACCGGTTCTCCGAACTACTCAAAATTTCCGCTACCGGTTCTCCGGAACTGGTCAGAACCTGCTGAAACCCATCTCTGCTTTGAACATTATGAACCATTTGTACAGAGGCAGGAACAGCAGACAGAGAAATTAAGAAGGAGATGACACAAAAGAGGAGGAAAAAAGGGTGGAGAAAGATTTGAGGGTCCAGTAATAAACTAGACCCAACAAAATACAATGAATACCTTTCAGAAGAGTTTGTATAGTACATAGAATGAGATGCCAGCGTTAACATTCCTGTGAATAGGCTAACTTTGTGTTATCACTGGTGGTTAAAAATGGGTTAATGTATAGCTTATCAATAGGTAGATTAGACTAGAAAATCAACTCTTACAGGAAGAGTAGAACAATGCTTTCTTGAGAATGGCTACAATAACAGAGGAAACAGTCTGTTACATGTCTGATCGTGTTGGACCTCTTCTCCCTTAGAACATAGAACAATAGAGTTGGAGGTCTTCTAGTCCAGAAGACTCCTGCTCAAGCAGGAGACCCTATCCCATTACAGACAAATGACTGTCCAGTCTTTTTTTGAAAACCTTCAAGTGATGGCTTCCAGTTCTACAATTCTGTGATTCCAAAAGTCCAGACAGACATTAATCAATGGGTTAATCAATTAATTAATCAATTAATTGGTGGAACAGCTGGCCTCCCAGATTTTTGGGTGCTCCATCACTGGAGATTTTTAAGAATAGATTGGACATGGTGCCATATGTCCGTACTGTCCATAGGTCCAAACTCCATAGTGATGGAACACCCACAATGTCCATGTCAATTAGGGAGGCATCTGTTTGATCCACTTCCAACTATTATCTTGTTCTTCCTGGACTTAGAAAATGCTTCAACCCATTTTTGCCTAGGCAATGGTTCCTACACATCTCCATCAAGGTCATCTACCTTACCCTCTAGAGATGGATGTCATCTTATAACAGTTTAGAACAGTTCTTGAATATTTCCACCAAGGTCATCTCCCTTCCTCTCTACAAGAGTTAAATTAAGGTATCCCTCATGTCAAACTCAACCGTAATGTCATTACTGAACCCATCTGTAGTTTTCCTGGCAGCAAGAGGGAATTTGCTATTGCGTTCTGCCCAGGATTTTTGTTGTTGTTGTTGTCCAGTCTAATCTGCAAGTGTGGTTTCCTCATCCATATCTACTATTGCTTGAGATCTTCCAGCATCCCTAAGTTTAGAAGGAAATAGTTTGGCTTTGTGGGAGGAATTAGGTGGATTAAAGAAATACGACTCCATTTTAATTGAAGGTAAACACATTCCAAATAGGACCACATCCATCTAATCTCTACATATAGTTTTGCAGCTGTAACTGGACAAGAATTGCACCAATGTTATCCAGCCTTATTTTTATCTATGTTTTGTTTTGTTGCAAATATCCCTACCTTTTATTGCACAGCTTAAGTTTCAACTTCAGTTGCATGATCTTTACTCCTAATTCCATTAGCACATTTCTCAGAGTTCTAAAGGTTAGCTTTTGATCTCTTTTCCCAAGAGAAAAATGTCACTTTTAGCCAACATTAGAATTTAAAAAGAAAGAAAAGGATGATCCCGTGTAATGAAAAGAAGGACCAGGGGTGACATGATAGCTGTGTTCCAATATCTCAGGGGCTACCACAAAGAAGAAGGGGCCAACCTATTCTCCAAAGCACCTGAGGGCAGGACAAGAAGCAATGGGTGGAAACTAATCAAGGAGAGAAGCAACCTAGAACTAAGGAGAAATTTCCTGACAGTGAGAACAATTAATCAGTGGAACAGCTTCCCTCCAGAAGTTGTGAATGCTCCAATGCTGGAGGTTATTAAGAAGAGAGTGAACAACCATTCGTCTGAAACAGAATAGGGCTTCCTGCCTGAACAGGGGGTTGGACTAGAAGACCTCCAAGGTCCCTTAGAACTGTTATTCTGTTCTGTTTCTCTGTTATTCCTTCTATGATCATGTGTACCCATCCCACAAAACCCAAAGAAAGTCTGGAATGGTATGGGATCTCCTGCCCTTGGGCTGGGGGTTGGACTAGAAGACCTCCAATGTCCCTTCCAACCCTATTATTCTATGTTCTACGTTCTTTTCTGGGACAGCAAAGTAGATGTGGGAAAGGGGAAGTTGTCCAGATTCCCGAGGGGAGCTTACAAGCAATACATTTTGCATGACTCTAATAACTATAGTCTAGGATAGAAGTGGCTGAAAGCTGGAAACTAGGATTCTCCCGAAAAGAGGTCAGCGAAAGTGAATCACCTTTTATGTGTGGGATACAGCTCTACGGTGATGACGTTCAAAGCGTTCCAGGCAGCGATGCTCGTGCCGCAAAAGAGACACTGCCATCCGATCATGGCTGACTCACTGTGGCCAAAGAACAAGAAGAAACAGCACACTGCCGAGATCAGCATGGACCCCCCTGCAAGGGAAAGCAAGAAAGAGGGGAGAAATAGGAGCGTGGCAGTCAACAAAGTCAAAGATGGCATCCAGATCAGTGATGACATTCATTTTTTTCCCCCTACCGGTTCTGTGGGCGTGGCTTGGTGGGGGGGGGGGTTCCTGTGACTGAGTGGGTGTGGCCAACTCAATGTCATTCACGCCCACGCCCAGTCACATTATTATTATTATTGTTGTTGTTGTTGTTTGTTGTTGTTGTTGTTGTTGTTGTTGTTGTTGTTGTTGTTGTTATTATTATTATTATTATTATTATTATTATTATTATTTATTCAATTTATATACCGCCCTTCTCCTATTGGACTCAGGATGGTGCACAGCCAAGGATAAAAAACATACCAGTACAAAATTTAAAATCAATTAAAAGAATTATACAGCTTTGGCCCACAATTTAAAACAATCCAATTTAAAATCCAATTTACACTTAAAAAACTAAAAAGCTAAAAAGAGCTAAAAAACATGACCCCCCCACCCCACCAAGCCACGCCCACAGAGCCCGGTAGGAAAAAAATGTGTGTATGAGCACCAGAAGGGCTCATAGTGAAGGCTGTGGCAGAGAGAAGCCAAACTTTTCTCCCTCCATTCACAACGGAGCTGCTGCTCTCTTTATGGTCCCCCCCCCACTGGTCCCCTCCCTCCCGCAGGTTGAAGTACCTTAAAGGGACAGGCTGCAGCAGTTCCGCTCTGAATGGAGGGAGAAAAAAATCGGATTCTCTCTGCTGCAGCATTTAATGTTGAATGGGTCGAGCAGCCGGAAGGGGTGAGTGGTGACCGGGAGACTGGGAGGGCATGGGAGGGGCCAACCAGGGGTGGGTTTTACCAGTTCGGCGAACCGATTCAAATCATCCCTACCGGTTCGTCCAAGCCAGTCCAAACCAGTCAAATTTCACCCCTGATCCAAATTTAGGTAATTAAAAATTTAGGTAATTTTTTTTAGTACCGGTTCTTGGTGGGCGTGGTGTGGCTTGGAGGGCATGGCAGGGGAAGGATACTGCAAAATCCCCACTCCCTCCCCACTCCTGGGGAAAGGATACTGCAAAATCTCCATTCCCACCCCACTCTGGGGCCAGCCAGAGGTGGTATTTGCCGGTTCTCTGAACTACTCAAAATTTCCGCTACCGGTTCCCCAGAACCTGCCAGAACCTGCTGGATTTCACCCCTGGTTCATCCCCACTCACCGATCATCTTGATTCTTCCTAATTTGTCCATCAGCAGAGCTGAGATGATATTACCAGGCAAGACGGAAAGGCTGCCCAAGAAGCTGACAAGGTAAATGAGGAAATCGTTGTCTTCTTCAAAATCCAGCTGGCAACCCTTCTTCTCCTCAACGTAAGAGACGTTCTCTAATTGGCAGTCAATGAATTTGTACATGTAGAGATCTGTGAGAAGGAAACAATGGATGGCCATCACTAGAACAGCTTTCAACGTGAGTGACAAATCACTAATGGCTCAGATTCCTGGAGACAACCGTTCACAGCGAGGGTGAGAATTATTGGGGGGGGGAGGGTTTATTTCTCATGGGGAGGGTCACAACATTCTGAATTTCTGAGAGAATTTTGATGAATGAGGGGATCGTGCAAACGATCTTCCATGAGATCTTGTGAAGTCTTGAAAAATGGGTCTCCAGAATTCTTCAGACATTTATAACCTTTACCTAACTTCACAATTTGGCTGGCATTGCAGGACTGGTATTTAAAAAGATCATTGGGACCAGAGCTTCGTCAATCCCCAATCTAGAACCCTAATTCTATACGTTATTCTGAGAAGGAACATCTTTCCGATTGAAAGTTGGAAAGCTAGAAATCATGTCATGGTGTGGCTGCAGGGAGGTTTCAGACCTGACAAGATGGTGATCATGGGTTCCCAATTCCAGCCTAACTCATGTGCACATGGCTTTAAGGCTACTTTGCAAAAAAAAAGAACAAGATTTAGATTGTCTTGTTGGAACCTGAATCCTCTGCCCTGGTCTGATGGTCCTAAGTACTGCTGAATCAAACCCTTAGCATGAAAATTACAAGTAATGACATCGCCTTTCCATCCTTCAAAAAGAAAGAAAAGTGAATGTTTTGGACTCAGTCTCAGACCTGCCATGACGTAAATCTTTAAGCAGAAATGATCCTTGGCTCCATTTATTGAGAAAGGTATAGTTTTATGAGACACCAAGTGTATTGCAGTCATGCATAGCCAGAACTGAGAATCACTAAGTTCTGTTTCCTCCCCCTTATCTGCCCCTCTCTGCCCACCCCACTATAACCAATCAGGTCCATGCAAAATGTTTTCACAACAGTCAGTCTGACCACAGGTTGGTATGCAGCTTCCTTTTTCTTCCAGCTGGGTGACCTTGAAGCAGCTTCTCGGGATGGCACAGTATCTACTTTCGTTTCCCCCAAGCATTTCCCCCTCCGCCATCATTCCCTCTCCCCACAGTTCATGGCAGTCTGACACTGCATAATAAAGTGAAGTACAGCAAACGAAAAGTGGCAGCTGACATTCAGTCCAGGATTGTCTGTAGGGTTTAATCAAATTATTCAACATGGCAGCCATGATGGTGTGATCCAAATTCTGCTTAATTATGGGTTGCAGGTAGAGCTTGGATTCCACCACTGGAGCTGCCATCTTAACTATTTTGGCCACACTGTAGACCTTCCACTCCCCGGCTCTGCGGAGGGATTATTCTGCTTCTCTTACATGTTCTGCTCTAAAGACTTGGTTCTGTGTCCTCTGCTTTTACAGGGGGAAAAAAGCTCCCCTCCCCACGCATGCATGCCCAGGTGCTCCTCCACAGTACCTGTGTCATAGAAGATGGTATTTACAATAGTGCACTTTTTGAAGAAGGTCTCGCTGGATGTCACATCTTCAAAATGACAGTCCTCAAAGAGGGAGTTGTCAAAAGTCACATCGCGCATTTTCATTTGAATGAACCTGAGGATGGACAAGAGCAGTGGTGGGATTCAAAAAAATTAACTACTGGTTCTGTGGGTGTGGCTTGGTGGGTGTGGCCAGGGGGTGTGACAGGCAGCACTTGGCCTCCTGCACACCCCTGGGAGCAAAAATGGGTCGTAGGGGGATGCGTTGCCCCCGTTTTTGGGCCTAGGAGGCCTCCCTGCACTTACCTGGGAGCCAAAATGGGGCATGTGGGAACTCCTGGAAGGGGCGGGACAGGAAAGGGCGGGGTCAGCCAGCAATTTAACTACCAGTTCGCCCGAACCTGCGCGAACCATCTGAATCCCACCACTGGACAAGAGTATGATCTTGACATCATACCTGAAACCTTTTCATTAGCCAAGGGCAGAAGGTAAGAAATACAACAGGCTACTACAGAATCTATCCAAGATGCAGTGAGTTAAAACCAAGACTAGGAGCATCTTTAAAATACAAACCTCCCCCACCCCCCAGTTTTAGAAACTTTAGGTACTCATAGGCATTTTTGTTAGTGGAAGAGTTGGAGAATTTGGATGTAAGGGGGTCCATCAAACCTTGCTAAGATTTCCTTTCAAGGCTGGGGGGTGGGGGGCAGGGTTTGGGGAAATAACTGAGATCATTCCAGAAGAAGCTGCTGGGATAGGAAACCAGATGATTCTCAGAAGCTCCCACTTCTGAAATTATTTCATTATACATGACTGTGGCGATATTATTATATGCATAAAGGTGGAAAGATTCGACACGACCTACTGCGGAGGAATGGATGGTGAAGTTGATCGATGTTGGTGGAAAAGATAAATTTCTCGGTTAGAAAAACAGACACTCTAATGTTTATTGGTGACTGGAAGCCTCTTATGGTCTTTGTGAGCAAAAATGAGCTTGTGATCTTTGATTTTAATGATTAGACAGGATAGATTATAGACGGAAGAGAGTCATGAAATGCAGCCCCAGCCATAAATTTCAGCAGAAAAGGTTTACCTGAACTGCTTTCCCTCATATTGCCACAAGAGGTCAGCATGCCCCCAAATAGAGACCAACAAGTAGTTTTAAGGTGCAAAGAAATGAGGAAAGAAAGAAAAAAAATCTGACAACTAGAATAAAGCAGGGGTGAAATCCAAAATTTTTCCATACCGGTTCTGTGGGCATGGCTTTCTGGGCATGGCAGGGGAAGGATATTGCAAAATCCCCATTCCCACCCCACTCTGGGGACAGCCAGAGGTGGTATTTGCCGGTTCTCCGAACTACTCAAAATTTCCACTACCGGTTCTCCAGAACCTGTTAGAACCTGCTGGATTTCACCCCTGGAATAAAGGTAAATTTCCTTCAAGTTGAGCTTGATTTCTGGTGCTTCCTGGTGTCAGCCCAGAAATGACCTGGCAGTCCAGATCTTTATTTCCTTACACTTAATACAATCTTGCCAAACTAAAGGTATAACCTTCTAACCGAGTAGATATACCCTGAGAGATTTTAGATTTTTTTTAAAAAATAACTTTTTCTTCTTTATATCAGCCAGAACAGGACTGTACAGCCTCTTATCTTGGGCACCTCAGAAAAAACAGAATAACAGAGTTTGGAAGGGAGCTTGGAGGTCTTCTAGTCCAACCCCCTGCTTAGGCAGGAAACCCTACACCACTTCAGACAAATGGTTATCCAATCTCTTCTTAAAAACTTCCAATGTTGGAAAATTCACAACGTCTGGAGGCAAGTTGTTCCACTGATTAATTGTTCTCACTGTCAGGAAATCCCTCCTTAGTTCTAAGTTGAAATGTGCTGCTTTCCTCCCTGGGAAGTTGCAGTGTGATTGTGGAGATTTCTCCCTCCCTCCACTCCTTTCCCTGCTGCACATTGCATCACACATGGTTGTGTCCATGTGGCTTCTATGGCAATACTATGGAAATGCTTTGCTTGCCTTCCTCTGGGAATTTTTTTTTAAAGCTTCTCAACTTTAATGGAGAGCTGCAGGATTTCCCAGTGGGGATCGTCAAAAAAACTAAACTGACCTGACCTTGCTTGCTTGACCCATCTGGATTGAGATAGGAAACAATCACATCTAAAAACCTCTAAAGCAGTGTTTCTCAACCTTGGAAGCTTGAAGATGGGTGGGCTTCAACTCCCAGAATCCCCCAGCCAGCGTTGCTGGGGGATTCTGGGATTCTGGGAGTTGAAGTCCACCCATCTTCAAGCTTCCAAGGTTGAGAAATACTGCTCTAAAGCAATTTATATTTCATCTCTTCTGAACTAAAATAGTTGGGAGTGACGTAGCGTTATTTCTCCTGTTTTGAACAAACACGTGACATCAACCAGCTTACTCATGCAAGAACTGAGAAACTGGCTAGTACGAGTGAAATATTCAGATTTGGAAACGTGAGCTTCTGCACAGTTTCCATTAGTGGTGTGTTGCAGTTGAACAAAGGTGCACAGCCAGGGATGGGCTCCTGGGGGTTCGGCAGGGTTCGGGCGATCCTCTAGCCAAGGATCGCCGGGGTTCGCTGAACCCCCAAATGCCACCCCTGGCTGGCCACGCCCACCCTGTCCCGCCCCTCCCAGGAGTCTCCACAAGGCCGGTTCATCATTCCAGCTAAGTGCAGGGGCTGTGCAGAGAGTCCAGAAGTCTGGAAATGGGCCTGTTTCCAGCCTCCGGAGGGCCTCTGGAGTCCAGGGAAAGCTGTTTTTGCCCTCCTGGAGGCTCAAAAAAAGCCTCTGAAGCCTGGGGAGAGCGAAAATCAGGCCTCCTGAAAGTTCTGGAAGTCTGGAAATGGGTCTGTTTTAGCCTCCGGATGGTCTCTGGAGCCTAGGGGAAGCAGTTTTTGCCCTCCCAGAGGCTCAAGGAAAGCCTCTGGAGCCTGGGGAGGGCGAAAATCCCCCCTCCGCTGTAGTGCAGGCAGCCGACTAGGCCACACCCACCATGGCCACACCCACCCCAGCAACGGGGCAGCGAACCCATTGCTAAAGGATCTGAAGCCCATCCCTGTACACAGCATATGTCCCCAAATCCTTGTGTGCAAACTCCAGAGTCCTATAATGGTGCGTGAGAATGACCTTGGGAGACAGGAGAAAGAGCTGCAGAGAGGTCAGGCAAGAGATAATCTCAGCCCACAGAAGAAATGGGGGTGGAAAAAGCATCTCAAATGGGACCCTTCCTAGTTTTCACTAGATTAAAAAATAAGGGAAAGCAGGATACTTCCCGATTTGCAAGTTTCTATCACTAGAAACTTACCCATAAAGGTAGGCTTGGTGTTCATGGTTGGTGCTTCTTGTCTGGACTACCTCAAAGACCTGATATCTGAAAGTACCTCTCCCCTCCCTCCCTCTCTCCATTTCACTGTCCTGAAAATTAGGGAGGGTTCCTTCTGAGATGGGTGGCGTGATGGCTTCGTGGTGAAGATGCTGGGCTTGTCGGCTAGAGGTTCGAGACCCGAGCGTCATGTGACAGGGTAAACTCCCGTCCTTGCCCCAGCTCCTGCCAACCGAGCAGTTCGAAAGCATGCAAATGCGAGTAGATAAATAGGTACCACTTCGATGGGAAAGTAACAGTGCTCCATGATGTCATGCTGGCCACATGACCATGGAAATGGACCATGGACAGTACTGGCCTTGAAATGGAGATGAGGACCAGTCCCTATAGTTGGCAACAACTAGCAGAGTAAAATCTGCAGGGACTCCCCTTCCCTCCTTCTGAGATGTTTTCTCCACCCCCATTCCTCCTTTGGACTTAGATTTCTTTTATCAGACCATTGTCTAGGCTGCAGCTCTTCTTCCTATCTCCAAGGTCATCTCCACCTTCAAAAGCATCACTTAATGGAACCAAGTCTCCAATTTGTGGCAATCTTGGGTGGTCTCCCAAAGTACTAAGCCACTTCAAACCTAGTTAGTATTTGGGTAGGAGGGTCTGGGCAAAAGGCCAGACAACGAAAAAAGCAATTATGAGCCACTTCTGTATTGACAAAGAACTGTTCGTGTAGCCCCAAGAGTTGAGTTCAACTAGAAGGATCTTTATTTTTTTTTACTTAATCAAATAGAAGGGGGAAAGTATTACATCCATGCGGAATAATCACATTAAGTGGAGTTAAATTAATTTAAAGGTCTAATAACAGCCTTTAACCCCTAAGTGGTTGCTGGCTGCATATCGGCCAAATGTGCAACGTATTTCATTAAAGATTTTTCTGACCATCTTTTTTTTGTTGTTATCAGTTATATTATTATGTAATATACTGCTTTCTCTTTTCTTGGAATACACTGTTTGTTAAAACAGCAAATAGTGTCTACGTTGAGTAGGATAAAACCATGACAAGGTATGAAGACCCCCTGGAGGTCTTCATTTTTCCCTCCCACCCCACCTCCCAATTTAAAAATGAGTATCTCCCTGTGATCCTTAATTTATAAATGGGCTTTCTGGAGCCATTTTATCAATCTGGAGATAATATGAACCTTCTAAGTACAACCCATCAACTCATTCCAGCTCATTTTCACACTCAAGCCTTCTCTGTCATGGCAGGAAGGGAGTAATTAAGTACCATGTTTTCCAAAAATAAGACCGGGTCTTTTATTATTTTTTGCTCCAAAAGATGCATTAGGGCTTATTATTCTGGTTAGGTCTTATTTTTGGAGAAATACAGTACTAATTGCATCCATCTGGGAGATGATCTTAACTGGGGCTTATTTTGGGGGTAGGGCTTATATTACAAGCATCTTGAAAAATCACGCTAGGGCTTATTTTTCCAGTTGGGTCTTATTTTCAGGGAAACAGGGTAGTAAAATTGATGGGATGCCTAAGAAACACACACACACCTCTTTTTTGTGGGTCCTTTCCAGGGCTTCAACCTCTATATCAGGAGAGTCAGGAATTAGTTAGCCCCTTGGTTAGTAAGATATGGCTGCTGGGGAGAAGTTGGTTTAACCAACTGGTTCCAGCTGAGATGTGTTTTGGACAAGATCTAACTGCTGAACATGAATTGATTGGATCAATGAACTTCTTTGAATTGACTTCGCAAGAGCTGGGAGAGGATTCACATACAAAGGCTGATCTCCACCCACCTTATATGAGTTCCGCAATTTGGAATATCGGACAGAACGTCGGTCAAGCCCTAGAAGCTCAGGGGGCTGATCATTGCAGGCTGGGGCACTCACCTGTCATTCTTGAATGTCCAATTCAAGTAGAGCTGGTTTCGGAGATTGAAGTCAAAGGTGAAGTCCTTCACTAATTCTGACTCGAATATCTTCCTCTCAGACTTATATGCTTCCTCTTGGTAATACCGTATCATATCGGGGAACCAGACAATCAGGCCATAATAACTGCGGAGAAGTGGAAATATCAGTTGCGTTGCTTTTCTTGGTGACTCAAAAGAAGTCTTCCACAGTTTTAGGACTGGAAATAGAAGCTGGCTACTTGTCTAAATTCTATGAGTTCACTCCCAATCCTCCATTGTACACAAATAATAATAATAATAACTTTATTGTCATTGTAGGTGTATACACAGTATACCCATACAACAAAATTCACTTAACACCCAAAGATCAGGTCCAACACATATAACAATCCCCAAACACACCCCCACCCACCATCAATTCCCCACCCCTAAACAACCCCTAAACATCCATACAACAGACCAAGTAATGCTGTCCAACAGCTCACTGATGGTGGCCCTTTAGTTCATGGTTGAGTGCCATTATAGCTCTGGGATAAAAACTATTCAGAAAACGTGTGGTCCAAGTTTTAGTTGTTCTGTATCTTCTGCCAGAAGGCAAAAGTCCAAAAAGATTGTAAGCAGGATGGGAAGAGTCTCTGAGAATGTTATGCAACTTTCTCAAACAGCCAGATTTGAAGATGTCGTCCAGGGCTGGTAGCTGGAGCCTGATTCTGGGCCGTTTTAATGATTCACTGTAGAGCATTTTTGTCCGCTACAGAGCTGCTCACATACCATGCAAGAATGCCGTATGTCAGGACACTCTCAATTGTGCTGCGATAGTAGGACAGAAGTAGATGCTGAGATAGATTTATCTTCTTGAGCATTCTCAGAAAGTACAGCCTCTTCTGTGCCTTCTTCACAAGTATACTTGCTGCCCTCACCTTCATAGGCATTTTATTTTGTTATTATGGCTAATGGCTCTAAAATCCAACTACGGTACATATAAAGAAGCTGCCCCCCCCCAAAAAAAACCAGTTCAACCTTCCAAAATATACTGTATGTGTGAATCTTTTGTTTTTCATCATCCCATCCTCTCTACAAAAGCTTGGCTTCTCTTCCTTCCCTTCGATCCCAGAGAGAGACCTCAAGAAGGAACTCCTTGCAAAGGGGTTTATTAGCTGTACTTATTAGTAGTGGTTCTACAGTAACACTAAGTAGGAGTCATGCCCTTAAGGGATGGTTGGAGAACTTCCTCTGGACATCATCATCTTCTTCTTCATTTAACGACCCCATAATCCCTTGCAGGAATGGAACTAGCAGAGCGTTTTAATTGCAGGATGCCCTTCCTGTTGCCAGTGCGGAATTTTGTTCAGCAGATATATTCTCATTGTGCCCAGAGAGAGAAATATCTGCCTCTACCTAGGATCGAACTCACAGCCTCCTGATGGTGAGGCCAGAGCTCCACCTCTAGGCCAGCACACCACTCTCTCCTTCCTCTGGATGTATGTAGAAAAATCATCCAGTCAATTTTCCTGTCCATTGATGCAGGGCAGAATTTTGAAAGGTTTCAATTTTGAAAAAATATGTAGGGATGCATCAATCAGAGTTGATTTCATAGCTGATATGTTGGACGTACTGACTGTAGATCAAAGAGCAAGGATAATGTTCTACAAACCTTAAAAAACTTCTAAGACACCTACCTTAATGCCATTGAAAACCAGATAACTGACAGTAATAGTGTGTTCATTCTGTACTGCGCTGCCAGACAATAAACCACATTGTCTATTACCTAGAAAATCAAAAAACAAAAAAGTTATCACGAAAAATAGCTAACTCTTGGTAAAACCAGTGACAATCTCAAATTAGTTCAACGAGATGGGTGACCTTAATTTATTCTATAATTTGTTGTGATTTCTTTCATATTTCAAAAGGCATGTTCAGCTAAGCTATTCAACTAAGTGAAAATTCTTGTGTTTAATCAACATCACTCATATGCTGACAGTTTTGCGTGAACTAATGTTTGTTGGATCACACACTGTGTTAGGATATACCGTATTTTTCAGAGTGTAAGACGCACCGGACTACAAGACGCACCAACCTTTTTTGGTGAGGAAAAGAAGAAAAAGAAATCTGCCTCTGTCTCTGCCTCCCAGCAATTTTGCCTCGTTGCAGCAAACAGCAAACAGCCTGCTTTACTTTCATTTTCGTTTCAGCATAGCTTGATTAGCAGAAGGGGAAAAAAAATCTGGTCCAGCAATTGCAGCAAGCAGCAGAGGCCGGGGCAAAACAGCTGAGAGCAAAACAAATGAGATTCGGGAGGCTGATTCAATCAACTTGTGCTAATTAGGCTGTGCTGAAGCTGAAAGGAGCTGTTTTTTCTTGCTATTTGCTGCAAGGAGGTAACTGCTGGGAGGCAGAGGCCAAAGGATGGGGGCCAGTGGGCGGGCGGGGCTACATTCAGTGTATAAAACGCACCTAAATTTTCAACCCCTTTTAGGGGGGGGAAGGTGCGTCTTATACTCTGAAAAATATGGTAATTTGATTTGGTTGATCTTAGTTTAAGGCAATATATGGACCACAAGGACATATTCAACAAATCATGGTTAAACATTTATCCTCATCATATTCATTTAACGACCCCATAATCCCTTGTGGGGATGGAGTTTGGGCAACTGAATGGAGCTACCAGAGTGTTTTAATGACCGGATGCCCTTCCTGTCGCCAATGCGGAGTTTTTGTTCATCTTATATATTCTCAGAATGTCCAGAGAGAGAAATATCTGCCTCTACCTAGGATCGAACTCACAGCCTCCTGATTGTGAGGCCAGAGCTCCACCTCTAGGCCACCGCACCACTCCTATGGTTAAACGTTAATGACTAAGCAAAATATGCAACCACGTGGTCATAGATTTTCAAAATGCATTCCAGAATAGTTTCATCCCAAGGATTATTCATTGGAAGGAAAGCAGAATAAATTGTTGAATTAGGGCATCATAGATAACGCATTAGATTGTGACTGAAGATGTCATAGCTACTTAGCCATTGTCTTCATATACTAAATGGGGGAAAAATGTTGTTTCTTAAGCCATAAAATGGCTTGTTTGTTGGAACATTGCATGTTAGGTGACGGTGGTAACTGTGTTTTGCTAATGCAGGTTGTTGGGTTGTACGAATCGAAATCCTGGATGTGTTTTGCGTAGTTACCCTTATTCCATACCTGTCTGATGGTGGTCATGACTCTAACAAAGCAACGTTGGTACCATGTTCCGGTGGAGCTCTGTATTTCAATAAATTCATCAACTTGCTTGGGAGTTTTTATCTGAGCTACCTGAAGAAGAAGAAGAAAAAAAAAAGTGAAGTAGAATTTACAAAACTCATCATCACTAGGAGTCTCTTCAGACAGAGTCTTGTTTGTGTTAGCCACTTCACAAAGGCTACAGAAGGCAGAGGAGGGCCCCTTCCCATCTCTGAACTGCTAATCCTCTGGAAGCCACAATTGTTTGTGTCACTACACAAAACAAAACGTTGCCACGTTCATTGAGGCTTTCCCCAAGATAAGCATATACATCTCTCTGGATCTATTCCATCTTTTAGAAAGGATGGATATGTGGCCAAGATTCTGTAGAGATTCTCAGTCATCCAAATCATGGTTGTCCCAAAAGTGCTTTTTCAGGAGGCAACTGGACTTTCTTGTTTTTTCTTTGAGGACTTTTCACTTCTCATCCAAGAAGCTTCTTCAGCTCTGACTGGAGGGTGGGAAATGGAAGGGTTTATATTCCTTGCAGACAGCGGATCATTTGCATCCTTTTAGAGGGTCGTTGAAGCACTTGGAGGTTTATTTATTTTATTTATTTATTTATTTATTTTATTGGATTTATATGCCGCCCTTCTCCCAAGGACTCAGGGTGGCTCACAACAATAAGAAACAGGAAATACAAAAGTTAAAAGACAAATTAAAACAGAGTATCCAATAAATAAAGTTAAACGTGGGAATACCAATTCAAATTTAAGATTTAAGAATATAAAAAAGCCTAAAGAGCCTGGTGGCGCAGCAGACTAATAGCCTGTTATTAACATTCAGCTGCCTGCAATTACTGCAAGTTCGAATCTCCCCAGGCTCAAGGTTGACTCAGCCTTCCATCCTTTCTAAGGTAGGTGAAATGAGGACCCAGTTTGTGGGGGCAATAAGCTGACTTTGTATAAATATACAAAAGTATGAAGGCTATTGCTTAACGCATTGTAAGCCGCCCTGAGTCTCCGGAGAAGGGCGGCATATAAATCAAATTAAAAAAAAAAAAGCTACAAAATCAATTATGTGTTCTCAGGGTCACTGGAGTCATGCTCCTGGTTCCTGTGATCCTCAGGTGACCCTGAGGATATAGATAAACCTCCAAGTGCTTCAACGACCCTCTAAAAGGATGCAAAGGACCCGCTGTCTGCAAGAAATATCAATCCTTCCATTCCCCACCATCCAGCCAGAGCTGAAGAAGCTTCTTGGATGAGAAGTAAAACGTCTTCAAAAGAAAAAACAAGAAAGTCCAGTTGCCTCCTGAAAAAAAAAAAAAGCACCTTTGGGACATGTGGCCAAATAATGCAGGAAAGGGGCATGTTTACCTCTCTTAGTTATCTCCTACTATCTTACAGCATCTTCTACCATCAGGTTTGATTGGGATGTACAAATGATTATGGGAAAAAAATTTAAAGAAACTACTCCAAGAGAGAGTTTGCAAATCTGTATATGTACACAAAGAATAATGAACAGGAAATGATGATGCCCGATGTGGCCAGTTATTCAGGTCCTGGGTGCCATCTCATTGTAATTTCCCATGTTGGATTGGATGCTCAAAATAATAATGATATTGATAATAAAAATACCAAATCGGAGCCCTCCCAAGCTCCGTTTTCATTGGCAGAGGGTTGCAGGAGGCATTGCAGCTGAAAACAGAGCTCGATGGCCCATTTTCACAGGCAGAGCGCTCAGGCCACCATAGGTGCCCCCAACATGAGTGACGTCAAGATGGCCACACCCACCCTGACCACGCCCACCCTGGCCACGCCCACCCTGGCCCCCCAAGGTCAAACACAACCCTGATGCGACCCTCAATGAAATCAAGTTTGACACCCCTGATCTAGAAATCACGTCGATCCAGCTCACCGTAAATACCCTTTCTGGCTCTCCCTTGGCCCTCATGTTGACATCATGGACTTGCTTAAGGATCATCCATGCTTCATCATGCTTACCAATCTAGAAAAATCAGAGGAGAGGAAGTCAGAAGTCCCATCTGGTACACCATCCTCACCCAAACGACTACTATCCAGGTGAGATGAAACTGCAACTCCCGATGTCCACAGCTGAGGGAGCACTGCTCTGGATGGAAATCGCTTCCATTCCTGAATAAGCAACTTTTACAAGTGAAGGCCAATATCCCGGGATAATGTTGGAGGATCCAAGAGGAGTCAGTTACCAGAACCAGAGGTTTATTCTTTCAAGCTTTCTGATTTGTGCTGGAACCCGTCCTCAGGGATCATCTCTCTCTCTCCAGAAGGACACATTCCTGAGGATGAGCCCCTACCAGGAAACTGAAATCTTGGAAGAATAAAATTCTGGTTCCGGTGACTGAATAACTTGTACTTAATCAGCATTCTCTCCTCCCAGCTTTATGGGAATCGGGTGCGATTCAAAGTGTTGGTCATCACCTTTAAAGCGCTCCATGGCATTGGACCTGGATACCTTCAAGACCGTCTTCTGCCACCAATAACCTCCCACCGGCCAGTCCGCTCCCACAGAGAGGGTCTCCTCAGGGTGCCACCGGTCAAATTATGTCGGCTGGCAACACCCAGGGGGAGGGCCTTCTCTGTGGGAGCCCCTGCCCTGTGGAATGAGCTGCCCCCAGAAATTCGTAAAATCTCTGATCTCCGTGTATTTTGCTGTGCCCTCAAAACCATGTTGTTCCGCCAGGCTGGGCTATCAAGGTAAAGATTTTAATTGGGTTTTTAAAAATGGGATTTTAAATTTGGGGTTTTAAATTGAGCCTATCATTTAATAATTTTAATTATTTTTAAATTTTGTCTGTCTTTGTGCTTTTAATCAGGCTGTACACCGCCCTGAGTCCTTTGGGAGAAGGGTGGTATAGAAATAAAATTAATAAATAAATAATAATAAATAAATATGGGAAGCCTCTACTTCCAGAGAACAACAAAGATGGAGGAATGCTTGAAGAATTGTGGTTCTCTGGGGTTATCATGTCTCCCCCTTTTTTTGTGAGTATAATCTAAATGCAGGACTGTTTGCATTTCCAAGAAATGTTGGAAATACCTCCAACAATATTTTAAGGGAAGAGAGAAAGAAGAAATAGAACACTGCAGAGCCATAAAATGTAATCATGTTAATCCTATTTAATTTGCTTTCATGTTAACTATCAATTGTATTTTACATTAAATCAAAGTTAATCCGGCTTCCCCAGATTTGTTGAAGATTGACAGTCAAAGGACAAGTAGGAAACTCACCACGAAGCAGTCATGCACATGGCTTTGGTGTAAATTCTACTCAACTGCTGCCCTCCAAATAAACTCTCCCAATTTTCCTTATACCCCCAGCCCTTGGACATGGTGGACGAAGATCATTGGGAGCTCATCACCCATCTCCTCCCACTTATGACTGTATGACTGTAACTTGTTGCTGTTTCCTAGTATGATTCGATTGCTTATTTGTACCCTATGACTATCACTAAGGGTTGTACCTTATGATTCTTGATGTATGTATCTTGTCTTTTTATGTACACTGAGAGCATATGCACCAAAGACAAATTCCTTGTGTGTCCAATCACACTTGGCCAATAAACAATTCTATCTATCTATCTATCTATCTATCTATCTATCTATCTATCTATCTATCTATCATCTATCATCTATCATCTATCTATATATCTCTTTCTATCTATCATCTATCATCTATCTATCTAACATCTATCTATCAATCATCTATCTATCTATCTATCTATCTATCTATCTATCTATCATCTATCTATTTATCATCTATCTCTTTTAATTAGTCTGTGATTCTTAACTTCGGGCCAAAATTTATACATATTTTTAAATGTTTTAATATTTGTATTCTATGTTTTTTATCTTGGCTGTACACCGCCCTGAGTCCTCAGGGAGAAGGGCGGTATATAAATTGGAAATTAAATTAAATTAAATTAAATTTATCTATCATCTATCTATCTATCTATCATCTATCATCTATCTATCAATTTATCTATCATCTATCTATCTATCTATCTATCTATCTATCTATCTATCTATCTATCTGGAGAGCTCACATCTGACTTTGTGGTAGCTACCTGAAATTAAAAGCGATTGCTTTCCAAGCATGATCATCTAAGAAATTCTCTTAAGTAAGACTTACTGCCATGCATACATGGGATTACAGAAATTCCAGCAACTGAACTATTTGTCTTTAAGAACCAACAAGTCATCGTGGAATTTGGAAGGAAACTTTCCATTTGTCCTGCTAACAGTCTTCTGCTGAAATGGCAAGGAGATAGACCTCTTCACAAATAACAAGGGAAGCTTGACACTGATGGTTTAATCATGGTCTCCTGAATCTTTACCATCTAGGAACCAACTCCTATAAGACAGGTTTTGAGGGGTAGTGTTTTTCTTGGGCAATCTCGCAGGGCTCTAAAGCAAATTGTAGGTCACTGAAACAAAGCATGTAACAAGAATGAAAACTGTGTGGATTGCCACTGTTGACTCACCACACTTTATAAGCCTCAGAACAGAGTTATCCCCGTTTTTCATCCTGCCGTGTATCTGTATCTTTAGCAGCAAGAGAAAATCCTACATAACGATCTCTCTTTCTGACATGGAGAAATTCTGTGCACAGAACTTTCAATATTTTCATAGTTGGCGTAGAGTTTGTAGTCTGGTTATTTTTAGTCTATGTTAAGCCTTTTTCTGGGCTTCAGTCTAATTGTGTAGTCCTTTCAGCCTCAAAATAGTGAGAAAGCATGCTGCTGCTGCTTTGTAGCCCCATTTTTTAAAAATCTATGCCGAAAAAAGGGGAGAGGATTCCAAGTGATCCTGGGGTTGCCCACTCTGTGCAACTGTCTCCTTTCCCAGATCAGATGGGCTTACCTCTAACAAAAAACGTGGGCTTTCTGGCATGAATTTCAGAGCCACAAGGGATGCTATGCAAGGCAGGGAACAGACCACCACAAAAACCCTCCAGCTGTGGAAGTGGTAATGGGCCCCCATACTGAAGCCCCAACCTGTAAGGGAGAAAGAGGACAGGAAAAATAGAATACAATAGGTCAGTGCCAGTACAAATGTCAGGCATTCTAGGCTGAAAATTCAGGGAGATGATAGAAACAGACAAGAGAGATGAGAGAGATGAAAGAGAGAGGGAGAGGGAGGGAAGGAGAGAGATACTGTGGATAGATAGATGATGGATAGATAGATTACATAGAAATAAAGATAGATAGATAGATAGATAGATAGATAGATAGATAGATAGATAGATAGATAGATAGATAGATGAGAGATGGATGCCGGCTGGCTGGTTGGCTGGCTGGGTGGGTGATACTTATTGTGGTCAGTGACTAGATAAAACAGAACATATATAAATTAAATAGAGCAAAGAAAAAGAATTTAACAAACCTCTAGCTATAAGATATGAGAAATAACCAGAAAGATGTCCAATCAGCATCAGATTTTTTTCTTGGTTTATTCACACTATGTGCAATGTCCAAGAGCCTTAAATTTAGGAGCTGCTGATCCAGCTCGTTATTTTGCTGGACTAATCAAGAAAGCCACGGACTATCATTATTCAGCATTACGGCATACAGCATAGTCCAAGAGATCTGTTACATCCCCCTTTGTGAAGCAAAGCAGGTTTGGATGGTCTAGAGATAAGATGACCTGTGGATGCTAGGTACATATATATGCAATAAAATGCACCAATACATTCCAGATTACTCTAGAATCCACCCAGAATCCCAGAAACATCTCACAATTGGCAGATTTAATTTGGGATTAAACCTGTAGTATTCCCCCAGGCCGGTCTATCAGATTGACCTTCTTCAACTAGAATCCTTCCACAAACGGTTGGACTATGATACCTGGCTAAAGAAGGTGAGAAGTCTCATCATCATCTTCATCATCATCATCATCCTTTGAGTCAAGCATGACTCGTGATGATTTGATGGACATGTCCATGAAGATTTTGTGGTAGCTACTGTATGGAAATGGTCACATAGTTTCTTCTAAATTCTGTTATGCAGAAGGTATTGGCCAAAACATGGAGGCCACCAAATTGAATAAAGGTAGATTGCAGCCTGCTTAACCTAGTTTGGTATCCTGGTCCCACTAGGTCAGGGGTCAGCAACCTTAAACACCCAGAGAGCCATTTGGACCCGTTTCCCACAGAAAAGAAAACACCGGGAGCCACAAAATCCTCCCCGTGCCTGACTATTTCCTGAGCGGCCACAAAACTAGCATATATAGTTGAATTAAAGATTCTGTTTTCTTCTGAAACTTTTCTTTTCTTGAATTTATCCATGGTTGGCTTACCCGGGGTCGAAAAGCTTAATAAATTGTGCATCAGTGGGTGTCACACATTGGCAGTTGTGATGCATATCTTGAGCGACAGGGAGCCACAACAGAGGGATGAAAGAGCCCCATGCGGCTCCAGAGCCGCAGGTTGCTGACCTCTGCACTAGGTGATTGGAAGCACATAATTTCAATGAAATAAAAGCTAGCCAACCACAGTCTGGAGACAAGACACAGAAGCAGGAAAATTCCCTCTAGGTCCTGGAAGCAATTACCGTAATGTGGGATGATGCTCCAGGCCATGACCGAGGCGTACAAACCACCAATCATCCAGAACATGCAGAGCCAGCTCAGGTGTTCTCCTCGCTTCTCACGGGCTAAGAATTCAGAGAAATAGGCAAAGACGATGGGCAGGGAACCTCCGACACTGAAGAAAGAAAAGGAGGAAACTGGAAGGATAAAACATCTTAGAAATCATAGAAAGGGTTTCATAGTAGCAATAGCACTAGCAATAGCACTTAGACTTATATACTGCTTCACAGTGCTTTTACAGCCCTCTCTAAGCAGTTTACAGAGTCAGCCTATTGCCCCCAACAATCTGGGTCCTCATTTTACCCACCTTGGAAGATGGAAGGCTGAGCCTGGTGAGATTCAAACTGCCAAATTGCAGGCAGCCAGCAGTCAGCAGAAGTAGCCTGCAATACTGCACTCTAACCACTGCGCCACCGTGGCTCAGTAGCCTAATAATATCAACTATGTTGTCTCTGTGTTCTTTAATTTTTTTTCTTTTTGTAACTCTGTGTTGGACTTAACTGAATAACAGAGTTGAAAGGGACCTTGGAGGTCTTCTAATCCAATCCTCTGCTCAGGCAGGGAACCCTATACCATTTCAGACAAATGGTTGTCCAATCTCTTCTTAAGAGCCTCCATTGATGGAGCACCCACAACTTCTGAAAAGAAGCCGTTCCACTGATTAATTGTTCTAACTGTCAGGAAATTTCTCCTTAGTTCTAGGTTGCTTCTCTCCTTGATTAGTTTCCATCCGTTGCTTCTTGTCCTGCCTTCTGGTGCTTTGTAGGATAGCTTGACTCCCTCTTCTTTGAGGCAGCCCCTGAGATATTGGAAGACTCCTATCATGTCTCCCCTACTCCTTCTTTTTACTAGACTAGACAAACCCAATTCCTTCAACTGTTCTTCATTTGTTTTAGCTTCCAGCCCCCTAATTATCTTTCTTGCTGTTCTCTGCACTCTTTCCAGAGTCTCCACATCATTTTTATAATATGATGACCAAAACTGGATGCAGTATTCTAAGCGTGTTCTTATTAAGGCTTTATATAACAGCATTAATACTTCACATGATATTGATTCTATCCCTCAGTTAATGCAACCCAGGATTGCATGGGCTTTTTTGGGGGGGAGGGGGTTGCTGCCATGATCGTAACATTGCAAAATTTTACACTGCATTGTAAAAACTGCAACATGTTCAATTGCGGTTCCAAGAACCTTGCTTGGGAGTGAGAAGTGTAGGAAGCCAATCGGTTAAGCATTACTGTCAAATATCAGATGTCTCCCTTGGCCTGGAATAAGCTTGTCCTTCTACAGAGCGTTCAGTACGTACCCAAAACCGGAGATCAGGCGGCAGAAGAGGAAGAAGCCGTATTGCTGAACGAAGGAGGAGAGGAACGCGAAGCTGGCGTTGATGGAGAGGGATATGATCAGGCACCGCTTCCGGCCCAGTTTGTCTGCCAGGCCACTCCAGAAAAGGGCCCCCACCATCATTCCAAAATAAACAATGAGTCCTGTATGACAGAGGGACACAAGACCTATTAGTCCCTGAACTTATTCTTGTCAGCAGCGGCATCTCTCCAGGTTTCCAAAAACGCCCACTTGCCAACTCTGCAGAAATGATGATCCAGGTACTACACTCCCCCCCCCACCCACCACCAACAACAACAAAGGCCACCAAGTAGCTTGTGCAAACGGCATCAAAAGCCTCCCTTCATCAAGGCAGCAAATGTCTATCACTGATTATTGGGGAAAAAAGGAAGGGGAAACAGTCATCCTCAAGTCCAATGCAGCTCTTGGTGATGGTGATGGTGACACATCCGTCAGTTTTCTTCTGGCCATGAAATAGAAGATGTTTTTCATTGCCTTTTTCTGGAATATTTTCCCCCAAATTTCCTACTCTAGCCTGGAGGTTATGATGATCTGGTGATCCCTGATTAACATGTGGAGGAGGATCAGCTACAGTTAACTAAGTGATACCCTCTGATGTAATAGGAAAGGAGGGAGGGAGGGAGGGGAAATTGAGAGATGCTGTGGAAGAAAGAGAGGGAGAAACCAAGAGGGGAGGGAGGGAGGGAGGGAGGGAGGGAGGGAAGGAAGGAAGGAAGGAAGGAAGGAAGGAAGGAAGGAAGGAAGGAAGGAAGGAAGGAAGGAAGAAGGAAGGGTGAGGAAATTGAGAGATGCTGTGGAAGAAAGAGAGGGAGAAACCAAGAGGGAGGGAGGGAGGGAGGGAGAGAGGGAAGGAAGGAAGGAAGGAAGGAAGAAGGAAGGGTGAGGAAATTGAGAGATGCTGTGGAAGAAAGAGAGGGAGAAATCAAGAGGGAGGGAGGGAGGGAGGGAGGGAGGGAAGGAAGGAAGGAAGGAAGGAAGGAAGGAAGGAAGGAAGGAAGAAGGAAGGGTGAGGAAATTGAGAGATGCTGTGGAAGAAAGAGAGGGAGAACCCAAGAGGGAGGGAAGGAGGGAGGGAGGGAGGGAGGAGGGAGGGGAGGGAAGGAAGGAAGGAAGGAAGGAAGGAAGGAAAGGAAGGAAGGAAGGAAGGAAGGAAGGAAGGAGAGGGGAAATTGATTGAGAGATGCTTGAAGAAAGGGAGAAGAAACCAAGAGGGAGGGAAGAAGGAAGGAAGGAAGGGAGGGGAGGAAAGAAGGAAGGAAGGAAGGAAGAAAGGAAGGAAGAAGGAAGAGAAGATTGAGAGATGCTGTGGAAGGAAGAAGAGAGAGGGAGGAAGGAAGGGAAGGAAGGAGGGAGGGATTCTTATATAGGGGGTGCAAATATAAGTGACCAGCTGGGAACAGGGAACAGGACGAATAATATACTGTAGTCCTTTTTTTGGCTCTAATCTCAGTTCTCATAGGAAGCAAAATATGCACAAATTGGCCAAGACAAAATGTACCGACTCACCCAATGTAACAATGAACATCCCCAAAGCAGAACAAATAAACTGCCACCACAACGAGGCACCTGGCTCATTGCAAGATCCCCAGTTTGCTAAACAAGCTCCTAGAAAGTCACAAATTCATGGCTGGCTCCCTTATTTTACCAAAGGAAAGTGGGGAGTTGATTCATTCCCTCTCGTGGTAGACCAAAGGCCCTTGTGACATTAAAAGGCACTGCAGCATTAACAGCAGCAGCAGCAGCAGCCCGCAGAATCTTTATATATCTATGGTAATCAGCTATTGGAAGAGTCCATAAATACAGTTATTTCTCCTAATCAAGACAAAAGCAAAGGCTTTGTAGTGAACAACACAACATTTAGATGAATTGGCTTCAAGGCTGCAAGCCAGCTGTGATTCCCTTTCATGTGTATTCATTATTCCTTCTTTAGCTTAGTTTTCTTTTGTTTGGGAGGAGATGCCTTTTCTTTTCTTTTTCTTTTTTCTTTCTTTTCCCTATTAAGCATGTGCATAACACACAAACACATCATCATATAAACATATAAACACACATCATCATATAAACATATAAACACACGCACACATCATCATCATCTCCTTTTAAAGACCCCATAATCCCTTGCGGGGTGGAGTCTTGGGCAACTGAACAGAGCTGAGTGTTTATTGGCCGGATGCCCTTCCTGTTGCCAATGCGGAGTTTTGTTCAGCAGATAAATTCTCATTGTGCCCAGAGAGAGAAATATCTGCCTCTACCTAGGATCGAACTCACAGCCTCTTGATTGTGAGGTGAGAGCTCCACCTCTAGGCCACCGCACCAATCTATAAACACATGCACGCATGAATCACTGAATCAAACTATAAACTCTTAAAACATACAGGGTGTCAATAGAACTCCTTTCTTGATGACCATATGGATTATTGGACTCCAGGGAGAGACTGTAGACGGTCCTGAAGCTGAATTTACCCTCAGAAGCATTACATCTGCCCTGCAACCCAACAAGGCAGACACGGACTTCAACGGATAATTAGAACTGCAGAAAAAACAATGGCTGTCAACCTGCCTTCCATGGAGGACCTGTATACTGCACGAGTCAAAAAGAGGACTGGGAAAATATTTACAGACCCCTCGCATCCTGGACATAAACTGTTTCAATTCCTACCTTCAGAACGACACTATAGAGCACTGCACACCAGAACAACTAGACACAAGGACAGTTTTGTCCTGAACACCATCACTCTGCTAAATAAATAATTCCCGCAACACTGTCAAACTATTCACTAAGTCTGCATTACCATTAATCTTCCTATCACCCATCTCCTCCCCCACTTATGACTGTATGACTGTAACTTGTTGCCATATCCTTACGATTTATATTGATTGTTTCCTAGTATGATTTGATTGCTTATTTGTACTCTATGACTATCACTAAGTGTTCTATCTTATGATTCTTGACAAATGTATCTTGTCTTTTTATGTACACCAAGAGCATATGCACCAAAGACAAATTCCTTGTGTGTCCAATCACACTTGGCCAATAAAGAATTCTGTTCTGTTCTGTTCTGTTCTGTTCTGTTCTGTTCTGTTCTGTTCTATTCTAATTCTATTCTATTCTATTCTATTCTATTCTACTCTACTCTACTCTACTCTACTCTACTCTACTCTACTCTACTCTACTCTACTCTACTCTACTCTACTCTATTCTGAATTATATCTATCTATCTATCTATCTATCTATCTATCTATCTATCTATCTATATTGATTCTATCCCTCAGTTAATGCAACCCAGGATTGCATGGGCTTTTTGGGGGGGAGGGGGTTGCTGCCATGATCGTAACATTGCAAAATTTTACACTGCATTGTAAAAACTGCAACATGTTCAATTGCGGTTCCAAGAACCTTGCTTGGGAGTGAGAAGTGTAGGAAGCCAATCGGTTAAGCATTACTGTCAAATATCAGATGTCTCCCTTGGCCTGGAATAAGCTTGTCCTTCTACAGAGCGTTCAGTACGTACCCAAAACCGGAGATCAGGCGGCAGAAGAGGAAGAAGCCGTATTGCTGAACGAAGGAGGAGAGGAACGCGAAGCTGGCGTTGATGGAGAGGGATATGATCAGGCACCGCTTCCGGCCCAGTTTGTCTGCCAGGCCACTCCAGAAAAGGGCCCCCACCATCATTCCAAAATAAACAATGAGTCCTGTATGACAGAGGGACACAAGACCTATTAGTCCCTGAACTTATTCTTGTCAGCAGCGGCATCTCTCCAGGTTTCCAAAAACGCCCACTTGCCAACTCTGCAGAAATGATGATCCAGGTACTACACTCCCCCCCCCCACCCACCACCAACAACAACAAAGGCCACCAAGTAGCTTGTGCAAACGGCATCAAAAGCCTCCCTTCATCAAGGCAGCAAATGTCTATCACTGATTATTGGGGAAAAAAGGAAGGGGAAACAGTCATCCTCAAGTCCAATGCAGCTCTTGGTGATGGTGATGGTGACACATCCGTCAGTTTTCTTCTGGCCATGAAATAGAAGATGTTTTTCATTGCCTTTTTCTGGAATATTTTCCCCCAAATTTCCTACTCTAGCCTGGAGGTTATGATGATCTGGTGATCCCTGATTAACATGTGGAGGAGGATCAGCTACAGTTAACTAAGTGATACCCTCTGATGTAATAGGAAAGGAGGGAGGGAGGGAGGGAAATTGAGAGATGCTGTGGAAGAAAGAGAGGGAGAAACCAAGAGGGAGGGAGGGAGGGAGGGGAGGGAGGGAGGGAAGGAAGGAAGGAAGGAAGGAAGGAAGAAGGAAGGAAGGAAGGAAGGAAGGAAGGAAGGAAGAAGGAAGGGTGAGGAAATTGAGAGATGCTGTGGAAGAAAGAGAGGGAGAAACCAAGAGGGAGGGAGGGAGGGAGGGAGAGAGGGAAGGAAGGAAGGAAGGAAGGAAGAAGGAAGGGTGAGGAAATTGAGAGATGCTGTGGAAGAAAGAGAGGGAGAAATCAAGAGGGAGGGAGGGAGGGAGGGAGGGAGGGAAGGAAGGAAGGAAGGAAGGAAGGAAGGAAGGAAGGAAGGAAGAAGGAAGGGTGAGGAAATTGAGAGATGCTGTGGAAGAAAGAGAGGGAGAAACCAAGAGGGAGGGAAGGAGGGAGAGGAGGGAGGGAGGGAGGGAGGGAGGGAGGGAAGGAAGGAAGGAAGGAAGGAAGGAAGGAAGGAAGGAAGGAAGGAAGGAAGGAAGAAGGAAGGGTGAGGAAATTGAGAGATGCTGTGGAAGAAAGGGAGAAAGAAACCAAGAGGGAGGGGAAGGAAGGAAGGAAGGAAGGAAGGAAGGAAGAAGGAAGGAAGGAAGGAAGGAAGGAAGGAAGGAAGAGAAAATTGAGAGATGCTGTGGAAGAAAGGGAGGGAGAAAGCAAGAGGGAGGGAGGAAGGGAAGGAAGGAAGGAAGGATTATCTATATAGGCAGGTGCAAATAAAAGTGACCAGCTGGGAACAGGACGGAATAATATACTGTAGTCCTTTTTTTGGCTCTAATCTCAGTTCTCATAGGAAGCAAAATATGCACAAATTGGCCAAGACAAAATGTACCGACTCACCCAATGTAACAATGAACATCCCCAAAGCAGAACAAATAAACTGCCACCACAACGAGGCACCTGGCTCATTGCAAGATCCCCAGTTTGCTAAACAAGCTCCTAGAAAGTCACAAATTCATGGCTGGCTCCCTTATTTTACCAAAGGAAAGTGGGGAGTTGATTCATTCCCTCTCGTGGTAGACCAAAGGCCCTTGTGACATTAAAAGGCACTGCAGCATTAACAGCAGCAGCAGCAGCAGCCGCCAGAATCTTTATATATCTATGGTAATCAGCTATTGGAAGAGTCCATAAATACAGTTATTTCTCCTAATCAAGACAAAAGCAAAGGCTTTGTAGTGAACAACACAACATTTAGATGAATTGGCTTCAAGGCTGCAAGCCAGCTGTGATTCCCTTTCATGTGTATTCATTATTCCTTCTTAGCTTAGTTTTCTTTTGTTTGGGAGGAGATGCCTTTTCTTTTCTTTTTCTTTTTTCTTTCTTTTCCCTATTAAGCATGTGCATAACACACAAACACATCATCATATAAACATATAAACACACATCATCATATAAACATATAAACACACACGCACACATCATCATCATCTCCTTTTAAAGACCCCATAATCCCTTGCGGGGTGGAGTCTTGGGCAACTGAACAGAGCTGAGTGTTTATTGGCCGGAGCCCTTCCTGTTGCCAATGCGGAGTTTTTTCAGCAGATAAATTCTCATTGTGCCCAGAGAGAGAAATATCTGCCTCTACCTAGGATCGAACTCACAGCCTCTTGATTGTGAGGTGAGAGCTCCACCTCTAGGCCACCGCACCAATCTATAAACACATGCACGCATGAATCACTGAATCAAACTATAAACTCTTAAAACATACAGGTGTCAATAGAACTCCTTTCTTGATGACCATATGGATTATTTGAACTCCAGGGAGAGACTGTAGACGGTCCTGAAGCTGAATTTACCCTCAGAAGCATTACATCTGCCCTGCAACCCAACAAGGCAGACACGGACTTCAACGGATAATTAGAACTGCAGAAAAAACAATGGCTGTCAACCTGCCTTCCATGGAGGACCTGTATACTGCACGAGTCAAAAAGAGGACTGGGAAAATATTTACAGACCCCTCGCATCCTGGACATAAACTGTTTCAATTCCTACCTTCAGAACGACACTATAGAGCACTGCACACCAGAACAACTAGACACAAGGACAGTTTTGTCCTGAACACCATCACTCTGCTAAATAAATAATTCCCGCAACACTGTCAAACTATTCACTAAGTCTGCATTACCATTAATCTTCCTATCACCCATCTCCTCCCCCACTTATGACTGTATGACTGTAACTTGTTGCCATATCCTTACGATTTATATTGATTGTTTCCTAGTATGATTTGATTGCTTATTTGTACTCTATGACTATCACTAAGTGTTCTATCTTATGATTCTTGACAAATGTATCTTGTCTTTTTATGTACACCAAGAGCATATGCACCAAAGACAAATTCCTTGTGTGTCCAATCACACTTGGCCAATAAATAAAAATACTGTCAAACTAGTTACTAAGTCTGCATTACTATTAATCGTCTCATCATTCCTATCATCCATCTCCTCCCATTTATGACTGTATGACTCTAACCTTGTTGCTGGAATCCTTAAGATTTATATTGACTGTTTCCCTATGACTATCATTAAGTGTTGTACCTTATGATTCTTGATGAATGTATCTTTTCTTTTATGTACACTGAGAGCGTATGCACCAAAGACAAATTCCTTGTGTGTCCAATTACACTTGGCCAATAAAGAATTCTGTTCTGTTCTGTTCTGTTCTGTTCTGTTCTGTTCTGTTCTGTTCTATTCTAATTCTATTCTATTCTATTCTATTCTATTCTACTCTACTCTACTCTACTCTACTCTACTCTACTCTACTCTACTCTACTCTACTCTACTCTACTCTACTCTATTCTGAATTTATCTATCTATCTATCTATCTATCTATCTATCTATCTATCTATCTATCTATCTTGTGCTCCTCTGGCATCATCTCCAGAGCTTTGGATATTCACAGCTCCTGGCTATTTCAAGAGACCTCGGGCTGAAATTTATCCTCCTTTCCCCCACCAGTTCCTATTCAACAGCATGAAGGAGGATTTTGCTTAAGAAAGTTCTTCTAAAGATGTGGATATGGAGATATTTTCCTGAGTGGATTTCAATGTACTTCCACTTAAATAAGGACCAGACATTTGAAGAATTGCCTATTAATGTCACCTTATCCGCTATACCGTCATCCCTACAACCATCTGCCTCCTCTCTGTATTCCAACGTTTCCGTCCCATGCCAAGATGAGTCATCAGGACGAACCTCTACTAGGAAGTTCTCAGAGTAACAGTATTGATCTCTAAGGCGGTGCCTTGTCCTCAAAAAAAATGATTGAGGTTCTCCTGCTCCTGGGGCAATTTGGAGAAATTATTCCACCAGATTGACTGCTTGTGGATTTTAGGAGAACTTTTTTTTTTTAATGGAATCTGGCCTGATAGTTGATGGGCTTCTAGCCACTGAAGTTATAGTAATAGCAATAGCATTGTCTTAGACTTATATACTGCTTCATTGTGCTTTACATAACAATAGCAATAGCACTTAGACTTATATACCGCTTCATAGAGCTTTACAGCCCTCTCTAAGCGGTTTACAGAGTCAGCCTCTTGCCCCCACAATCTGGGTCCTCATTTTACCAACCTCGGAAGGATAGAAGGCTGAGTCAACCTTGAGCTGGTCAGGATCAAACTGCTGGTGGTAGGCAAAGTTAGCTTGCAATAGCAATAGCACTTAGCCTTATATATCACTTCATAGTGCTTTACATAACAATAGCAATAGCACTTAGACTTATATACCACTTCATAGTGCTTTTACAGCCCTCTCTAAGTGGTTTACAGAGACAGCATCTTGCCCCAACAATCTGGGTCCCCATTTTACCCAGAATGATGCCACGAGGGGTGGGGGGGAATTGTCCTTGTGTTGAGTTGTTTTGGCATGCAATGCCCTACAGCCCCGTCCTGAGGGAAGGAATTGAAACAGTTTATGTCCAGGGATGTGAAGGGTCTGTAGGTATCTTCTCAGCTTTCCTTCTGACCCATACAGGCCTTCTATGGAAGGCAGGCTGGCTGCAACTGTTCCTTCCACTGTCTTAACTATCCACTGGAGTCTGTACCTGTCCTATTTGGTTGCTGTACCCAACCAGACAATTATAGAAGTTCTATCATCATCTATCATCATAATCACCAGTTGCAATGGATGGCTGTGAAAGTTGTGAAAGTTGGACCATAAGGAAGGTTGAGCGCCAAAGAACTGAGGCCTTTGAACTCTGGTGCTGGAGAAGACTCCTGTGAGTCCCTTAGATGAGATCAACCCTGACTGCTCTTTAGAAGGCCAGATCCTGAGGATGAAACTCAAATACTTTGGCCACCTAATGAGAAGGAAGGACTCCCTGGAGAAGAGCCTAATGTTGGGAACAATTGAGGGCAAAAGAAGAAGAGGACGACAGAGAGCGAGGTGGCTGGACGGAGTCACTGAAGCAGTTGGTGTGAGCTTAAATGGACTCCAGAGGATGGTAGAGGACA